CCAAAGTACTAAAAATTATCGGTTAAGGAAGGCAGATCTGCAATTCATGAAGCCAGTAGCACCTAAATGCAAATAAAATCTCGAGTGGCGAGGTGATTTTGCTGTGTGAAGACGAAGTGCAACAGAATGAACCATATGTTACTTTGTATTATTCTTTTTCAATTGTCAAGTAATTACGATTAGAGATATTTTTGTATTTCAATTGTCAAGTAACTACGATTAGAGATATTGTTTGATTAAGAACATTATCCTCTCAAGCATCTTGTAGACAGAAGAGCGTATTTTGAAGGCTTCCAGGCTTGATGTAGAATTTCAAAAATGCATTTGGTAGGGTAGTTTAATTCTGGTGGACATGGAGCAATCTTGAGACTGGGATCGTGCACGCAAAGCCGTGGTCGCATCTCAACAAGAGCTGCATATTTAATACCAGCAACGACTTGCCTTGTAGCTTGCAAAATTTTGGTAGCAATGAGTCTGCAATGAAGAACAATTTTTCAAGCTAAAGAGCTAATGACGAAATTTGTTTACGCCTTAGCATTGATGTTCATAAATGTAAAGATTTCAATTTGACTGTAAAGTCTGAATGACGTAATTCTCAGTTACTTTTAATGTCGAAATATCATGCACTCGAAAGAAAGGTTTTTCAGAAGCATAAATAAAATTCATACAGATATGATTTTCCATTTAAACCAACTATCATAGCAAGGGATAAAGCATATTTCAATATAAAGTTAAGTTGAGGGTATTTGTAATGTAATTTTTGTGCGTTATAATGTATTCAAATTTAGGCTAGAGTTCTATAATTGCTTGTTCGGGAAAAAGATGCCTTGAATTAGATTATTACATTTCATGAATGCAAATACAGTGAAAAATATAATTCATAGTCACAATGATTAGTCTCATTAAAGTCTCACAATAGAAGAACAATTACCTTGAGTTGGTTTTCAAATTGTATTCTGTCACTGCAAAAGTCACTCCTTCTTGGAGAATGTCATCTTTTTCAATCTCATCTTTTGTCATTTCCACGATTCCTCCTGGCATTTGCTGTGCATAGCAAGACGTTGCAACAGCAAGCAGAAAAAAACACAACAATGAAGCTTGTCTTGCCATTTTGAAAACTTGAATGTTTACTTTCGAATATATATCGATCAGTGATATATTCACGCTGGAGCACAAGGTGAAGTTGTGGAAACGAATCGTCTGCATTTAAATGTATCTATGTTTTTTCAGGTTTACGTCTGCTGTTTACACCATATGGTATTCCACTACGATTTAGCAAACAAATTAGAGCATGCTTCGAAAGTATGCCAAATTCTGTAAACAAACTATGTGCAATATTTGTAAGTGCAGAGTTCTTTATTAAGAATCTGTTTTCTACACATTTCCAGAACGAATCAATCCTCCATATTTTTACCATCTATACAACATACCTGTCAATAAAGGAAGGAATACTTAAAGGGATAAGTTAATAGGATCTCAAACATTACAGAGAGAGGCAAATAAAGCATACATATTTTATGTGTCTGTAGATAAGAAGATAGGTTGATGCCCTGAAAAAAATCTTCTTTTGCCAAGTATTTGCACTGTCGCCATAATTTTGTTTATAAAAATAAAGAGCCTCCTAAAGGAGACAATTCAATTCAAGCAACTATGTGTGGATGGTTTTGAAATGTTCAAAAAATGCGGTCAAAAAATCCGCTTGTAAATTTGTAGCTATATTTCCAGATTTCTTTTGAGGAGGCTAAACGGCTCGTGTGCATACCAGTCTATTGTTTTCTGCGTTTAAGAAAACCAGTGTAGCTGTAGCAAGAATCACTTCACAAAAATTACTCAGTTGTCGAAATGGCGTCTGATATTTGAAATTGAAAAAGCAAGAAATTAACGTAAAGCGAAACATAAGAAATTGCCATTGTAATCATTGCTAAAATTTCAGTGGCACACAAAGTGAATACAAGGCCGACTTCTCCGCTATTGAAACTTAAGGAATAGGAATCACAAAATTGAAGCATTTGTTGTAACGCACAGGACCAGAGGCGGCGCAAAGGGTTTATGAGGGTGATAGTTACCCCTTTCTGTTTAGAAATTAATTCAACAGCGTTAGGAAGGGCTAGATCATACTTTCTCCTAACAAAAATTCATCCGGTGCAAGGCACTGAAACGAGGCAAAGGGCGTGGTTTCACTGGTCAAGCCCATTACAGATCCACTCTGCAGTAGCTTGCGTCGCCACTGTGTAGGACACAATACAAGTGTGATAAATTTTTGGCATTCTTAAACATGTTAAGGAAGAAACTAACAAACAACCAAAGGCATAAAATTTTTATTTCGAATAAAGAGAGGGTAAAAGAATCCTAGCCGAACGAAAATAGATTATTTACTAGGTATGCTGTTAATGTGGAGCAAACGACATATTTCTCGGGGTAAAAATGCTTCAAAAGTCATTTTTTAATCTTGACTTGACCGTCAATCCGTTATTCATGCTCAAAAGTTCAGCGTGCCTTCTATTTACAATTAATAAAGATTCCATAAAAAGATTTTTTACGTTGCTAATAGATATCGACAATGCTATTAGATATCGACAATGCTTTGAGGTGAAATAGAACATTCAGTTCCTTTTCATTTATCCAATGACGATGAAAGAGGGCACCCGTTCATCATTCATTTCTTGAGGCTGACATCATATTTACGAAAACAAATAGTGCTTAAGTAATATTGCAAAAGGGACCTATTATAACAGTTATCATTGACAGTATACGGGCAAGAAAATAACAAGACCCCACCGAAAAAAGGACATGACGCTGACAGCTTTTGCTGACTGGAAACTTTACTGTATGATGATGCTGGCATTACCATTATCAACATTGTCATTCTCATGCACCTCTAGATTTCACTGCAAAACGCCTGAAGTCAAATACATCAGCATGGATAAACTGACAAATATGACCTTGAATGGAACAGTGCTTAAGTCATTCCAAGCAAAGGACATTTCAGAATGCCAGAGATCTTGCCTCCATGAAGAAAAATGCCAGTCACTGAATGTCAATATCAGTACAGCGATTGGCCTGACATGCGACCTTTTGGACATCAATATCTATAGCAATTCGTCACTTCTTCTTCAGCAAAGTGGATCCGTTCACCTCTTTATTCCGGTATAGTTAAAAGCGATAAATTTATTCTTTGCAATTGAAAAGGAATAACTTTTATATGTTAATTACTTGCAAACTAAGAAGCTTGATGTTAGTAAATTTCTTTTTAGAATGAGTGCAAGAATAAACCATGCAAGAACAATGCAGTATGTGTGCCCAACTATCAGAACGACTCCTACAGCTGCGAATGTAAATCGAATGGAACATGGATAACGAAAGGGCTTCATTGTGAAACAATACTAAGTAAGTACGTAGAAAAAGATGAATAGCAGCATTATAAAGACTTTAAAAAAGCACCTTTGTCGACATTAAATGATAACATTATGACTGTAGCATCCCCATTATTTGTATTGAGCAATGAATATAGTATGGTCACAAATTTGGACTAAGTTTTTTGTTTTAAATAACGTGACACATGTTGTCTCAATGTAGCGAGAGGAAAATTTTAATTAGGGATGAAAATATTTTTTGCTTCACAAATTCTATTATGTCTACTTGTGTCATATGTCTACTCAAATAACACTTTTTTGCAGATGGATATTCCAGTGCCTTTGTTTACTGGTCATTCGACGATCCAGCAAGCCTTGCCCCCTTGACAAGCACAAACTTGGACATGTCATCATATGTAGCATCATCATGGACTCCGGTCTCGGAACCAGGTCGAAGACATCCGGTTGTAAAATGCAATGTGCCAGGCCATGCGCCTCCTTGCATGTATATTAAGTCAAATGTACCATGCCTTCAGTAAGAATGTATATTAATTTGCATTTATAATGTTTTGCATGCTATTAAAATTTTAATGAAAAGACCAAAATCCTTGAAAATTTGTCGGGTTTAGAATCTGTAGTCCGATGTTTTTATTTGCAGCATTTTTGGAACTTGTGAGCTGACAGTCACTTACAGTGTTTGGATCAAATATACAGAATTTGAAGCGTCAAGATCTGCTCCAGCATATGTATTCCATTCGTATGCTTTTAATCAACGTCGGGGCGTTCACTTCTCATCGAAAAGTGATGGAAAGTTTACTTTCGCTGTTTCCATTTCGTTAAGCAAACGATGGATTATTGAAGATTTTGGAGGAGCTGTTGTGAAGACAAACTGGAATCAGTTTACTTTTACAGTGGATGATAATGCAGGAAGTTGTGCCTTTGTCAACGGAGTGAAAGATGCCTGCCAGTCAACCCATGCTTCGGTCTCCTTGAGTGATTTGCAATCCAGTTTCAAAATTGGCGATTCCCCGTCTGCCGATATTGAGCCTGGTATTTATGTTGACGACTTGGCTGTTTGGCAAGTCATTCTTACTGAAGACGAAGTAAAAAACCTTTACGAACAAACAAAAGAGTGATTGTTTTTGACAAATTTTAGACTAAATTTGCTGTAAAGTGCACTTATCGCTGAAAAGAAAGCAATATTCTCTATCGTAGAATGCAATAAAAAGAAAAGGAAACATTTGTTAGTCTTTCTTGAAAGCCACTTTATCTGGATATGGCAATTAATTTACCTAGATATTAATACAAAAAGACTTAATATATCTCAATTAAGTTGCCAATTTTTTGTCTTATTGCTTTGAAACAAGATCGAGAGAACATTAGAACAATACCAATACCCAAATAGCTCAACCTGATACGTTAATCATCAAGATTAGTTGATTATGTAAATTTACCGCTGTAAAATTATATACAGGTTCTTAATTTTTTTCATCCATTCATTATTAATAATTTTATTATTTAAAATAAAGTTGATATTAACGTGTGACAAGCTGCTGTAGCAGTAATTCTATTTATGTTTTTCTTATGTTGTTGTTGCCATCTTGGCCATCTTGCCTAGATACCTTTTTCATAAAAATTGAAAAGAGAAATTGTAATTCTGGAAAAATTGAAAAGAAAAATTGTAACACCTAAGAGCAAAACTAATTTGAGAATACATTTTAGCCCATTTTTAACTCAAGATTGCCACCTCTTTACACTCGTGCACCAGAGTTATTCAATGGTTGGTTTCCTGTTACATAGTAGAAAACAATTCATACAAAGTTTATGACTATTAGGCCAAGGGTCTAATAAACGTATCTTAAGAATTGTTATAATTGCCTATTTATGCAGACGTAAATGAAAGTGCTTAGATGTACTAAAGATATTATAGAAGAAAAACAATTTTTTTGCGGTACAGAATTTGAAAATGGCTTTGAAAAAAGCAAACATTTAACGACATGCTAAAAGCTTTTTCGATGCAAAGCGATGCAAAAAAGGCAAATCGTTTCAACGGAAAAGCAGGCTACCCTCCTTTATTGAAATGGCCTGAATTCACAAGATTTTGATAGGAATTCAAGCAAAATACACATTCATTAAAGTTATGGAAAACTAGAAACCAGTTGCAATTAATTTAAGGCTACTAGGAAACGGTACCACTAGTTTGAATTGTCGCTAAGTGATGGTAACCAAGAGACGATGAAATGGCTCAATTGGGGATAAGAATCAGGGTCGGTAACTGTTTGCAAAAGGTAAAGCCCTCTTTTATTTGAACGCTTGTATGTGGAAGAAGATGGGAATTTTTTGACCGGGCGAAATGCGTTTAGTAAAGCGAAATTCTTTGCACATTTCAAATAATTTTATGATATGACGTCTCTGGTGATAACTCATTCATGATTCCTGCCAAGCTACTTTAACTTTTACCAGCAAGCTCAAAATTACTCTTCAGCCAATATTTTTGGGCAATTTGCACAGCAGAGCACTGAGAGTGTGGTCGAAAACACGTTAAATTTGTTTGAAAACATGTATCGTGGTCATATGGTGCAAATAACGCATGGGAACCTGTGAAAACATTGGAAACTATAAAACCCTCCTCTCGCTCGCAAAAAATTACTGATCGACAAATATTCGAAAGTGAACATTCGAGTTTCAAAATGGCAAGACAAGCTTTATTGATGTGTTTCTTTCTGCTTGCTGTGGCAACGTTCTGCTCTGCACAGCAAATGCCAGGAGAAATCGTGGAAATGACAAAAGATGAGATTGAAAAAGATGACATTCTCCACGCAGGAGTGACTTTTGCAGTGACAGAGTACAATTCCAAAACCAACTCGAGGTAATATTTCTTCAATCGAGAGTCTTGACTTTTTTATCACATATCATAGTTATCTTTCTATATTCATAAATTAGGTGTCTTGAACTGTCATTCATTTCAGACTTCTTTGTACGATTATAACAGAATCGCTTGTAACAAATAGATTTATTATCGTTATTGAAAAGTGCGAGATCCAACCTATTTTCTAGTCAAGCTTAGTTTACTTGTTTTGCACAGATGAATTCATTGAGGTTGAACACACTAGAGGGGTGAAGGAAAGGGATGACTCTTTACTTAAATAAGACAGGAAAGTCGTATGGAAATTGGGTCAAAGCCCGAGTTACTCGGGGTATATGACTTTACCGGATTCAACTGTAAAGTGATACTTGTTAAATACTTTCACTTCGCCAAACTAAAGCTTCTGATTGCTTTCCAGACTTATTGCTACAGAAATTTTACAAGCCACAAGACAGGTTGTTGCTGGCATCAAATATGTAGCCCTTGTTGAGTTGCGACCACGGCTTTGCGTGCATGATCCCAAACTCAAGATTGCTCCATGCCCACCACAGCTAAACTTGCCAACCAGATGTGTGTTTGACATCCTTCATCAAGCTTGGATGCCTTTGAAATACACAGTTCTGTCTACAAAGTGCTTTAGAGCGCAGTGAACATTAATCTTAAGAATTTGTCTGTAAGCAAATTATAATTCATGAAGAAGAAAAGTAACACACTGTTATCTTTTTTAGACTGAATCTTTCTGATAGCAAAAGAGCAGATCCATCTACAGATTGCTAAATATACACTGTTGCCTGTTCTTGCAATCTAAACTGTTTTTTGTTTGAGAAATGTTAAAAAAACATTTCTTTCTTTTTCTTTCTTTCTTTCTTTCTTTCTTTCTTTCTTTCTTTCTTTCTTTCTTTCTTTCTTTCTTTCTTTCTTTCTTTCTTTCTTTCTTTCTTTCTCTCTTTCTTTCTTTCTTTCTTTCTTTCTTTCTTTCTTTCTTTCTTTCATTCAAAACTGGCAATGAACTTTTTTTTACCACTAAAGCAATAGCTAAGGATAGTTATCAAATGAAAGGTAATTGAATAATGGGAGCTTTTCCTAGCAAACTTGAAAATAGGCCTAGGCATAAGCTTTGTATGGCAAAGCAACTTTTGCTTGCATTTGCAACGATTGCATTTGCTTGTACTTGAACCTTTAGTTGCTTTAAGCAAAACCATAGTCATTATCTGTCCTTTTTGCTCTGTGTTTAAAGCATGTTTAAGCATGCAGACAGCCAAGATACGTACTAACGGTCACATGGCGCTATAAACGCGACTCCTATCTATTATGGCAACATGTGCTTTATGTTTTCGCTTTTTCGTGGCATTCTGAAATTTCAAAATATGATAGACTTATTGAACTGTTTCAAAGCAACCGTAGCTTAGTCATGTGCTTACACCCCGTTTATTATATACATTGATGACCAATTACAGTGGAATAGGGTGTGAAACGAAATAGTCAAAACCGAGCTAGCTGTAGCCATCGTTGGAAAAAAAGTAAAAGAGATCTAGAAACGCTTGGAAAGCGTGGTAAAAATCATTGTGCTTACCAAATCGACAAACAGCGGGATAAAAGACAACAAGATACAGGATGTTGCAGGTCTTCGATTCGTATACACAGAACAAGGGAATATTTTATACAATCCACTCAATACCAGGCAGTTCCTTAGGTTACACACTGGTCAGATTTTGTTACAAGAAAGCCGAACGTCGTGGCTTTAATTCACGATATTCAATAAATTTAACAGTTTGGCAAAATACCCACAGAAACAGAAACAGTTGTCACTAAAACAGGAACTACAATGTGACAAAGATTTCTTATCACTGGTAATATTAACCTAAAAAGGCGTTCCAAGAAAGTACTTCATGAAGATTGAATAAACTAACTGGGGAAAGATCAGTCCCTTTGTTGGAAGCTTATTCATATTTAAATCGAGCATTTACCAATCAGTGAGTGTGATTCCACTCAAATGCTCATTGATTGGCTAATATCTTCTAATTTCTTTAAAGGGATCTGAACTTCAACAAACATAAAAACGGAATAATGGGCAACAACATTGCCAAGCCCCGTTGTTAACAGATCCTTTTTCTATCGTTTCAAAAAGTGGCAACATATATGACAAAATTTCTTAAACAAAGGTTCACCCGATAATTTGCTATTTAATGATCACTAAAATCGTAATGATCATGATCAAATCACAACGAATTTTAAAACGATGTAAAGTACTACCAATTATCAACGCCTTGTCCTCACAGGTCGGTGTAACGCTGAACCATTTGAAAAAGCACTAGTTTTGGATTTTGAATGTGATTCGTTTTGACTGTATTGCGCATGAGAACTTGATTTGGTTTTCTTTTTCACACTGTTGTTTCTATCGGTATTGCGATCGTCTACATTGGATGCTTTTGAACATTCGTGTCCTCCAGTTGAAGGCAAGTACTTGTCTAGCTTGCTTGGAACATGGATTCCATTAGCATTGGCTTTTGAGCGGACTTTGGACGGGGGAACTGTGGTGACCTCGTCTCCTGACGTCACTTCCGAATCAGTTGCTGCGACACCTTGGGCTGTCATCAGATGCTTTTCAAGTTTGTTTAGAGATCCATCTAAAATAGTTTTTAAATTTCTAGCATCTCCGGTAATAGTGTTCAGGGAACGATCAAAGCTGTATCTCAGTTTGCCAAGTTCATCCTCCCGTTTTAAGAAAGTGTCTTCTAAACGCTGCCGGTCCTGTTGCTCTATCAGTAACTTGTGCCTGAGATTGACCACCTACAAAAATACCACACGACGCATAAAAGAGTGCAAACAAATTCGATGCAATATTATCCAGAACTTTGCTTGATTTACATTTGATAAGCATCTACATTTGACGTAGATGACCATAGCAATCTAAATTCTCTCGCAGTAAAAACTCTATCAACTAGCAAAAACATGAAAAAAATTACTAGAAAAAATCGCAAATGATCGTGGACAGGGAATTCAAATTTATGTCAAGCCTATAACACTTTAATCAATCAGCATTGCATTTGTAAATAATTCAATAAACAGTTATTCACGGCAATATAAAATTTATTTGAGAAGCTCTTATCTTAAACGTTCATCCTTCCATTTTTTCAAGGTATGATATAATACTTTCGCATATATGCCTAGGCCATGCATAATACAGACTCTCAAAAACAGTCTGACTTAAAAGACTCAGTAGGATGTTTTAATTGTGATATTAAATACGCTGATTTGCAGCATATATTCGCGGATGCTCAATATTCTACTCAATAAAGATTTTGTGAATTTAGTGCAATCAAATGAAATTATTGATTTTCAAGGTTCTATTGATTTGCAAAGAAACCAAATGTAAAAAAAATTCAACCTCGTCTTCAAGCCGAGTCATTCTATCTTGCTGTATTCTCTCTTTGTTCCGAATGTCCTTCTCTTTGAGCGCCTGTTCCATTTTTGACCTTTCTTGTGCTATGTCAATTTCTTGTATTCTTTGGTCAATTAAATTGCTGTCAATGTAAGATAAATACAATTAAAAAGGAAAGGCAACGATACGGCAGTGAGAGAGTAAGTAGCGCTTAACGCTAAAAGAAGAGATGAGTCTCTGTCTAAACTACAACATTTAAAGAAGGACAATTTATTCCTTTACGTGCCTCACTTTCTTCTTCGATTGAGCTTCGTTGACTTCCTTTCCCATGTGCTTTACCATTTTTTTCAGTTCATCGTTTTCTTTAGCAAGAACTTTCATGGATCTTTCGACTGAAGTCTTCTCATCTCTCAGCCCTTGCAGAAAATCGTCCATGCGACTTATTTCTAATTCCATTTTTTGATGCCTCTTTTTGTACTTTTCAATGTCCTCAGTTTTCCTGGCATTGCTTTTCTCTACAGCTTGAAGCGCCACTTTGCTCACTTTGGCCTCATCCTCCGCCCTGATGATACGCTCTTCAAGCAAACGCTTGTCACTTTGAAGTGAGCCTACCTTGTTGAGCAACTCGTCCACTGTTTTGTTTTGATCCCTGAATGACCTGTTAACCCTAGAAAGCTCCTCCTCAAGCTCAACAGCCTTGTGCTCAGCCGAATGATGTACCTTTACAAAAGAAAATTGTTAACACATTTATGGTATGGATAATAAAAACTGTGTTTAGTGGCAACCAAATTTAGTGGCAATATTTGAGCGAAACAATTTGGCATAAAAAAAATCCCATGTTATATAATCCCTTTTTAACTTCATTTCAGGTGCAAAAGCCACGGCATGGATAAAATATCCAGTGATAGCATCTATAACTGTCCCAGTAAATTCTGTCACAAATCCACATTACCAAATCAACCAAAAACCAAATCAATCTCCCAAGAAAATGGACTGATGCGCAAGCCAAGTTCCAGTAATCTTACTCTTATGAAAACACAGACGATCTAGATTGTAATGGTTACGAAATACCCTGAGTTAGACTGTGTTAGCAAGTAAAGCAGACAATACCTCCTTTGTAAAGGCGATTTTATCCATTAGCTCTTCAGATGTCCGCTTGTAATTCGAAAGCTGGCTCTCAAGCGTATCCATAGATTTTTCCATTGCCTGCAATGCGCTTTCCTTATCTGATATCTTCCGTGTTAGCCTTCTGAGTTGATCTCTTAAATCTAGTATAGTGTTGTCTTGCCCTTTCATATTGTTCTCTAATGATCGAATATGATCTTCAAGCTGCTCTTTCTCAATCCTACCAGCTTCTGCACCGTTTAAAAGTTCGTCAATTTGATGTTCTAGCTCTAATACACGATGGGCAAATTTTTTATTATCTTCGATAAAACTGTCCAATTGATCTTTAAGAATTGTATTTTCATTACTGTAGTCTTCGACAGTTTGATGGAGGTGACGTGCTTCATCCTCAATCGTCCTCCTGGCTCTTTCTGATTTTCCTTGCTTTGTTTCAAACTTGGTGACCTGGGCTCGTAAAACTTTCTTCTCCTCTTTCAATCGTGTATTTTCCTTCTCAGCGCGTTCAATGTCACTTTTAGCCTTTTGCAGCTCCTCTGCCTTAAGATGGATTTGTTTTTCCAAACCAGAAGACTTTGTCACTAGCTCCTTCCATTCCAGATCTTTTCTGCTCAGGTCCCTTTCCTGAAAAAAGTATTCTGATATTCATAAAGACGAAGGGATTAACAGTATTTTGATAATTATAAAGACAGAAACAGGCGAAGAAGTATACCGAGATAGATCTAGTGTTTTACTTTGTATCAAGACTTCCAGCGCTAATGAAAAATAATCTTCAACATAGAGATTAAGACTTAGACTTTGAGATTTACTTTATGACCCAGTCAAAACTTTACCTAGATCAATGACATCAAACAACTCATAGTTCTTTTTCTGTATCTTTGGCATATCGGAATTCATATTGTACAATTTGATTGCAACATCTCTGTATCCCTTACTTATAAAGCCCAAAAAAATTGCATATCAATGTAATAAGCATAACAATAACATTAAGGCGTGTAGATTCTAAAGTATCCTTTACACCACACTTTGTAATCCAAAACAGATTGATCGAAATGATAAAAAAAACGTATTTTTTTACGGACAGATTCGGATAACATCGAAATGTGTGTAACTAAGGTTCAAATTGACCAGGAGTATTCATCGCTTGCCTAAGATTAAAATTCATCATCTGGTATAATTTTCAAATCAAGTGTTTCATAGCATAGTTTCATCATAAATGTGGAGCCTCTCTGCGTGAAACCGAGTAAATATTTCTTCATTAGTAAACAAGAAACTTACAAGTAATGAAATGGTTTCTTTGGTTCTATCAAATTGAACTTCCATGTGTTCTTTAGCCCGTTCGCTGGCTTGCAATGCTCGTTCTTCTTCTTTGAATTGATTTTGAAAAGATCTAACTTCATTTTCCAATTCTCCTATCCTAAGTTCTGCTGATTTTAACTTGTTTTGAATTTCTTCCTTCTCAACTTCACTTTCAGAGAACCTCTGGGCCAAATCACGAAGCTGCTTTTCTATGTGACTTGGGTCAATTTTCAAATCATCTAGAAATGAATTCACGAATTAGCTTAGTAGCTTCAAGAATAAATATTGTTAGCAAAATTCCATCATATCCAAAGAAATTATGTAAAAACAGCCCGTCATATCGATGACCCGAGGAACTATGGGTATGTACGAAAACACAAGTGCAGTTTGATCACAATTATATCCACTACCAGCTCACAGAGGTATTTGTCTCATCTTATTCATGGTACAGACTTTGAAGTGAATCAACAGATGCTGAGACTGGCCTAAGCCATCTGTCAGTTAGCTATTGGCCAAATAATAATCGTCTGAGTGGTATCGCCTAAGTGGTATCGTCAAATGTTGATAGGTTTTCACCTTAAGGCAACAAACAATAGACAGAAAAGAAACACCGACAAGCTAAAAGAAAAGGAAAGGAAATATTTTACCGTCAAAACCCGCTAAAAATTGTGTTTGACAATGTTACCATCAAGTGGAAAACAAATAAATTTTTAGAACAATTTAATCAAAACAATTGTTTCAAAGATCCCTCGGAATCATTATGAAATTATGATATACCATGATAACCAGATTCTACATCCTTCTCAAGCCATTCTTTCACTGGGCTGCTTGATTTAGCATTATTCATCCTTTTAGTATTTCCAGGTATGTTTACTCCAAATGACTTTTTTATGGCCTTTGATATCATGCTCAACTGCAGTTCTAAATCCATTTTCTCATCTTCAGTTTGAGCTAACTGGCTTTCCACTGCTTTCATTCTCGTTTCCAGACTTCTAACTTTAATGGCATATTCATCTTTCTCACCGGCCTCACTCCCAAGCAGACTCTCAAGTTCACTACAACGTTGTCTCAGTTTGGTCTCTGAGCTCGACAGCACATCAATGTCCTGCCGAAGTTGGTTCTCCAGCATATGTGTTTCGCTTTCCATCTGCTTTGCTCTATATGGAAACATATGTACAATACTCAGTCAGTATATATATCTAACGGCATATAAAGACTTTCTATATATTTTCATCAATTTTTCTGCGTTATTAGGCCTGATGTTTTGTTGCGTAATGCATGCCTTTACAAGAACTGCGAATAAGATAAAACACGGTTTGGCAAGTTTTGATAAATAAACGGTAATAGTCGGTATACTCAAAGATTAGGGCAATAAGAAACGCTAAATATAACCAACCTCTATGTTAATATATTATATAGGCATTGCATATGTAACCATGCAAGTGAGCACATTTCAAGAAGCAGTGAAAAAAAGGATGCAAGGATTATTTTGGTTCATTGGTATAATTTCATTGATAGCGTCATTATATGTGTGAATTGACTAATTTCCCGCATTACAGTAACTTATAAACGATAAAATCAACGATCATGCACTTCTAGAACTTACTTGTTTACCTAACTTATTTACATTGAATTTTGATTATGATATTGCAGAAACTACTCACACCAAAATCGGATCATCAACTTGATCATATGACTTAACAATATACCAATTTTGTTTATCAGCTTCAACTTCTGGTTCGAACAGAGCATTTCTAGGATTCAATCCCATAGCAAAAAGGAGACGTGGTAATCAATTCCCCTGTTCGATTTCATTCAGAGGTGAAGTGAAATGCGGGTACCAAACAGCTGAGCGATAGAAACCGCATTACAACCGAAATGTTGAGGTTACAATCAAAACAGGGTATTAGATCCAAATCATTATTAAGAGGCTATGTGCTGCAATTTCTTGAAAACAAAAGCTGCAGGTCTTGTTTGATTGACTTCAGAAACAATGGATTCAATAGCTTTCTGCCAATATGCTCTAATAAGAAAAAGTTTTAATCTCGGCAAAGAAACAGAATGAATACATTCCCTGCAGAAGCAAATACGAACCTTCTCATTTCTCTGCCAACATCAGATTTTAATTGCTCTCTATCAGACATCAACTGAGATATGGTCTGTTTTAACTCAAATAGCTCTTTTCTAAGCTCAGAATTCACACTCTCGTCTTTTGCGGCCTTTTCCTTTACCATTAAGTTGTTCTTCCGCTGTTGATTAGCTTCTGCTGTCAGGTTCTTCACTTGCTTCTCGTATTCTCCCAGCTCTTTTTCAAGCTTAATCTTGCTCTGTTCTGATTCATTCAGCATATCTTTGACCTGTGTGTAGCACCAGAAATTCATTGCAAAATATTTGAATGGGATGATTTGCCAACATAATGATCATTAGCAGGTTCTGCATCGCCAAATGACACAAAAAAGGTTGCTTATTATATGCAGTAATATTTTATAATGAAAGCTAAAAAGGACATTATTGGCCAAATTCGGTCTATTGGCCGAACTATTAAATAAAGAATTATAAGGTGATGCACGCCTGTGTACACATCGTCCTATGCAATAAAAGCTTTAATAATTTGAGACAACGAGTAATTAGGGAAAAAAAGTAAATTAGGAAAAAGCCAACGATTTTTCTACAGAAAGGCTGAGCGTGATCAAAACATGAAAAATATTAAAAAAATACTGATGAAAAAACGAGATTGGGAAAATCCTTTGGTAGAAAACAAAAAATGTTCATAAACCATATTTTACTCTAAACTTGCCCGAGACACGTTTAGGAAAACCCTCTTTGCTGGCTTCTTAAAAAACAAACAGAGAAAAACAATCTACCTCGAAAAGATCATGCTGCAGTGTCTCCTTCATAGTGTCCGATTTAAAAATTAGATCTTCGCTTGCACTGACTTTCAACTGGAGCTCTAGCTTTTCCTTTTCACTAGCTGCGAACTGCTCTCTCAATTCATCATACTGCTTTGACAATGAAACCCGTTCTAAGGTCTCATCGCTGAGCCGTGCTTGTAATTCATTCAATTCTTTACGAGCAAGACTCGACAAATTATCAGATTCCTTTACTTTTTGGTTAGCATCATTAAGTTCAACACGAAGTTTATCTCGTGCCTCTTCGTGTATCTTGACTTGCAGTTTATATTCTTCGTAATTTTTTTCTTTCCTTGTTATCTCATTTTCGAGTTCTTCTATCCTCTTCTTAAGTTCGTGTGCTTCCTCGTATCTAAGAACTCTGTAAACAGAAATATAAGTTTGAGAATATAAGTTTTAGCTCTCTGTAGGCTCAAACTTACCCCAGCACTTCATAAGACATTGATTACCCTAAACAATTCCTGTCGTGTCTTATAAAATTCACGAGAGTTCCAGTTTAAGTATCCCAGTGTAGGCAGCATAAGCACCCTAATTTGAACAAGATTCTAACTTTGCCTTTTCAGATAGACCCAACAAAAGGAGCCCAAACAAAGCGAAAATACATATTACAGACAAACAAGGATGTAAAGGCGAGTTCTTTTTAAAACAGCTGCAAAAAATGCTACTCTGCTTTGTTTGTTTTATGTTTTGACTATCTATGAATTGAGTAATTTATAGATTGTTTCAAGGGATATAAAATGGGGATTGCAACACATATAAATAACTTGTATTTTCTATCAGATATTCCTTGCATTTCTGTCCCTTGATACAGCCAGGGGTGTAGGTGTGCTATTTAAAGAATATGGCCTTTTCATAAAAGATACCCCCAAAACAATAAAAATAAGTAGAACTTGTTTAATGATTGACTTTATCAAGTACCATCTACCACCATCTTAACCCTGTGACACCTTGAAAAAGCTAAATTCCTTTGCAAATTGAATAGCATTTGAATTTACATGCCAAATTTATATACTGGCCATACCTCAAATATCAACCTATCTATTAATTTTTGCAAGTTTTCTGTCAAAGGTGTCTAAAAGTATAAATTTCTCATGTATTTTTGCAAAATTAGAGCATTATGGAAGATTCAAGAAGATTCCATTAATGGTGCAAATTTCTCACCTTAATTCTTCTAACTTTTTTCTTGTTTTTTGCAATTCAGCATCTATCTGAGAGCAGTTTTCCTGGAATTGGAAAGATTATGATTTAAATTTGGCTCAAGAGTTGCAAAATTGTGTGATATGTGCACATGCATTAAAAGGCTTAATATATTTGTTTTTATTTAATTGAAAATTAGGAAGAAGACTCACTCAGGTTTTAAGATGATCTTTATATCTTAAAATTTGCTGTGTTAACAGAGTCATATTTTTAAACACCATTATGGATGCATTTTATGTTGCTAGGTCAGTTTTAATAGCAGCAACTGCTGACTTGCTTTTACAGTATAATAAATTGATCAAGAGCATCACATGATTTGTTCAGTTTTAAAGAGGAGGCAGAACCAAGTGCAAGTCTGGCAGAAGAGTTGGAAACCATTTGGACCTTGTTAATCGAGTTTTTAGAAAAATTAAATATATTTAAAAGTAAATGCGTGATGAGGTTTATTAATGTGACAAATTTTGTGGAATCCCCTCTCCAGCCTCCCATTATTAGAAACTTTTGAAAAATAGCATAAATCAATCATTCATCACATTCTTTGTTTTGATAGTGTATCCTCAACCACCCAAACAAATTAATCCTGTATAATTAGCTGAATCCTTATGCTACAAAGTTTAGAATTTTTAACTCTGATTTCAAATCTTTGAAAATGTTTATCAAATATTGTTTCCAGTTTTAACTACTTACAGCTTGAAATTATAATTCCATTGAAATGAGGTATTTTTAAATTCTGCAAACCTAACTTAAAAGCTAGAAAGTTACTTTGATTTTATACAATATTTAGATTTATTACCTCTACCTCATCAATGAGACAGTCAATCTGTGAAAGAATCAATGTACATATATTTAAAAATTCAAATTTAATTGTAATACACATTTTAAATGTGTATAAAAATACAAACTTAATAGATTATTTACTTCTCAATATAAAATTATTTATGTATATACTTTGTTGATTTATAAACTTTGATTTTACATGAAGGTTGTGATTTGATCAAATTTTATTTCTAACAATAAACTATAGACAATTACTATCATATAAATCACAACATTTCATTGCGTTTGCGTGATATAATTATATTCTCTTTGGCAAAACAAAATAATTGTATGATGGAAACTAGCATAGTCCTGTCTAAACTTTGACATAGTTCTGAGAGCAAACTTAGTTTTACATTATCCTAATGTTTGATTTTCTCAGAAGACAATGTTGACTTTGAATTCCATTAGCTAAAACATCACATTCAATGTATTTGGCTACTGCAAGATTCAAACAAATATTTGTTATATAGTCGAGTTTCAAATGCCTTATACTCTATATGGAGTCTTATCTTCCTATATTTAAACGCTTTGTGTCTATAGGACTGATGTCTAATAAGGATTTAAAGTCTAGGAAGATTTTGTAGAATCTGATTAAGTCAACTGCCAGACATAATTACCTTGCTGTTTTGTTTCCATGGCCAATTTGATCCATTTTCGACTCTTTTTGAAAAGGTTTTCCAGCCCTCATCAATGTCACTCGGCTCCCCGGTCATTTTGCAGCTTCTTGTCACAGATAACTGTGGTCTTGTCAAATGTTTTCAAATATGGACATGTGTAGAAGTAGTGTGCTTGAATCGTTTTCAACTTCCAGCAAAGAGTTCAACGGAAGATATCTCCCATTGACTAAGACCTTGAGACAAACAATATCCCTTTTGTTATCAGATTATATCTTCTATTTTACGGGCAAAGACATTCAAATTTTTTTGAATGCTTTCTATGTGTTTATTCATTAACGAATGTGTGTCAACTGTATTCTTATCTAAACCAACGCTTTATCTTCATGCTCGAGCTCAGAAACTTATCGCATAATAGAATGCACCATGATTGATCTTCTTGGAAAACGCATACAATGAACAATGTTTTGAAATGATATGGCGATATCTAAACTCAAAAGTTTGACATTTCATCACTTAAACTTATGATCCTGTATCATTTTTAGGCAGCAGGTACAACAAACTACACAAATTATAGAGGAATGTGATATCACAATTTGATCAAAGTAGGTCAAACAAACCGTCGGTTTACCTCCTATTTTGTTCAAGGCCAGTGAGCCAGCTCGACTTGCCTATACATCATAACAGAGAATTTTATTCAAGCTTTCTGTTGGATTTCATCCTCTTTGAATCTCCCGAAACAAGCAGGATCAGGAATCAAAATAGTTCCTTTGTTATGGTAGCAGGTAATTCGCCCAGTGAAACCATTTCATTCATCTTTCACAAATTTACAAATCCTGTGTTCAAATAAATGCGCCAAATCTCCCTTCTAATTACTCCCGAAGGGGATGTCAATGCCGAGGAAGCCCCATTCTCTCTGGTGGACACCACAGGTGAACACAGAGGCTACAAGCCAAAGGGGGGTTAGGGTTATCATTAGGGTTAGGGTTAGGGTAAGGATCAGGGCACGGCTCAGGTTCAGGGTTGGGGTTAAGTTGAGGGGGATAGGGTTATGGCAATTTTTGGCGAGGTGAAACATAAATGAAATCTATTCATACTTTGGACCAGCGGCGGATCCAGAAAAATATTGAAGGAGGGGTAGTTGCTGGTCGGGGCGCTGAAAATTTTTAGAAATTGATGATGAGTGTGCGCTGTATTCACTTTGTAAGAAAATTTTTCACAATAATGTTGCATACATTGAGGAAATCTTTGAAGTAAATTAAGCTAGAAGTCTCAGAAACTTTTTCACGAGGGGCGATTCACTATTGCAAATAACATACGAGATTTTCCCTAAAACAAAAGGATTTCTAGGGATTTTCAGATAAAACAATAGGATTTTCACAAAAGGTGTACGAGATTTTCTATGAGTGATTTGCCCCTTGCTTTTTCACCTGCTTCCCATTTTTCAAAAAGGGCGCAAAATTTCCAAAAGGGGCGCTAGACTTGCTTCAACTCGGTGAGGGAGGGGCAACTGCCCCTAGTTCCGCCCCCTTAGTTCGCCACTGCTTTGGACAGCCAAATATACGACGTGTAAATCTGAAACCATTTCGTTTTTTCAAGAGCACTTGATTCTTCATAAATTGCTACAAGTCTTGTCAGTTTGAGAAAGCATTTTTGAAAACTACACTCCTCTGCATCCTTTGCAAACTCAGTGAAAATTTTTCAGTAGGTCAGAAGAATGTGTACAGAAAAAAATAGGCATTTGGTTGTGTCTATGTAGAGATTGATTTATTTGTTGTCTGCAGAGAACGAGAGCAACAAATCAATATTTGTTGTTAACTCAGGGGTATACTGGGTTTTTGGACATCTGCAAGCTAATAGTAATGTCAATGTTGATCGAGATGGGCATGCAGTTTTAAATACAATAGTGCCAAGAGTTTTATCGATGTATAAAAGAGTTTTTTGTAAGATTTCCTAAAGCAGTTCACTTTCTTAATTGTAAAAATGGTTTTCTATCTTTTATGCCCTTCTATTTTATACAGGCGCGGATCTAGCCAAAATTTTGACCGGTTTTGGGGTGCTTTCTCCCCTTGCATCTCTGAATTTTCATTACCAGTGCACCTTTTAGCAATATTTATGTACCACGGGGGCGGCGCCAAAAAATTCAAAGTGATAGCTTTATTAGACTAAAAAACCGTTATTTGAAAATTGCACTAAAATGCTTCACAATATTATATACCTATGATTTTATGGGGCAATCGTTATGCTAACGGCACATTGGATGGGCTGGCGATAAGCTGTCAGAGGCTTACCCTGGGTACCAGACTCACTGTATAAAAAAATAGAGAGTCTGGTCTAGTGCGCCCCATTCTCGTTCTGGTGAACTTACTTGAAAGAACTGAAGTCTATTTAACAGACTAGGCCTGTGAAACAAGACTGTCAGATAAATAATAAAGAAACTCAGTAGTCAGAGGAGTTTTGGGAAATCTTAAAGCAAATGTGTTTTATTTAGTTCTTTGAAGTCGACATTTTTAATACAGTGGTAATAGACTTTTCTGCCTCAAGAAAACAATCAAATCAGGTTTAAAACGCCATTTGGCAGCAAAAAATATGTACGAAGCATGAAATTAAAGTTAGCACAATGCAGTTATTAAATGTTAATCATTGTTAAATTTCGTATACAACTTAAAATAAGTCTTTTGTAATTTTCCACATAAATTGTGTGTACTTTCAAAGTCTACTTCCTCACTGTGAAGGCAGCGCGCTTGGACACCGCGGCGGTTAGAATCATCACGTTGGAAGTTCCCCACAGCAAATATGGCCAATACGACAAGCGAAGCCCCCTATGCCGTGCGAAATATTAGCCATAACTGATTTACTTGTGTTTGTTGTTGTTTGTTCTCGGCGCCTTGCGGTGTTTCTTATTTACTGCATTTCACTACAAGGCCTAGCCAGTTGGCAATATGGCGAAGGTGTCTCTTCTCTCTACAAACAAGGCTTTTAATGCTGTTCTGTGTTAAGTTCCACAACATGCGAAAAATATTCTTTGAGTACAGTTTTAACAGCATCTTCAAACTAAATCGTTACGGTCGCTAGCATTTATTTATGTTGTGTTCTGTTCAATGTTTTACACCAGAGCTAAGTTTATTGTTTCGCTGTGACCTTTGAACGTACAGAAATCTGTACACTCTCTCCTGATTGGTTAATATCAGCACACCAGAACGAGAATGGGGCGCACTAGACCAGACTCTCTATTTTATTTTATACATAGTGAGTCTGGTACCCAGGGTATCAGAGGCTCTAGATGTATCTGAAAGAAGAGGCTTTCCTGCGAGCGAAGCTTTCCTCCCCCCACCCTTTAGATAAGCTAAAAATACATTTCAGAATATCTCTTGCAGTGATTTCCTTGCAATACTTTAAAACATTTTGCTATTTCTTAGGCATGCTTCTAGTACGTTTGATTGATAAGGCCCCATAGACCTTATTGGAAATTGAGAAATAACAGGATTTGTCGCACTTTCCTTTTCTTTTGTTCTTTTTGTTTTCTTCAAATATATTTTTTGCAAAAAAAAGGGGGACTGAAGCCTCCCAGCCCCCCTCTGGCGCCGCCCACGTACCATTATCATACAGTGTCCCATGTATACCATTAACAAAAATCTGCACTGGTAGTAAAAATTCATGAGGTTAGTAAATTGTAATTTGTCTCAGTTCAAGACCTCAGATTCTCATTTGCATCCATATTCCATTTTGTGTCAGGTTGCGACATATGATTACTGAGCGTCCACACTTTTGCACTATGGATATCGATTTTGAGTATGCTTTTTAGCCACCGGGTTTTTTCGCATAAGGGGAACTGGAGCATAGATAGCATACTCCAAACTGTAACTTCAAGTGGCCACTGATTTCTTCGATTTTGAATTCCTCGGATACTTTGGGATAAAATATGAATCAGAAAATGAATGTCAGTTTTGGAATGCAAACAACTTCATTTCATCAGAAACAGAAACTCTGAAGGATTTCATGAAGACTATGTTGCACGAGGGCCCACAGGAACGGGACTGCTGTTGGCGACCTCTAGAAGCCACACAAAAGACCACACCCGTGACCACACCATTTAAAGTTGCATTTTCATTTAAGATTCACTGCTATGTATATGAAGACATTAAAACAACTTACCGACACTAACAGGCTGGTAGAAATTGCTTATTCATGAGGAAATCAATAGGATTATACAGGGTCAGGTGACATCGTCAAGTAGTGCATTTGTACAACCAAACATCTATCGGCTTTTTAAAGGGAGCTGCTGAGCGATCCCAGCCCCCAAAAAACAATCCCTCTAAATTTTTACGAGTGGGCGCATGTCTGTGATAAAAACTTCCTGAGCAAAAAACGTGAAAACTCTAAGCAGTCAACTAAAAAAGGTTTCTTGCAGGAGGATTGAGGGAGGGGATTGGGATTAGGAGAGGCGAAAGGTCTGGGGCCCGTGCTCCGATGGATCCCGGAATAATCTAACTACAACGCAAAAAGCTACTTCTTTAACCAACTTGTATAGAATCAACTTATATATATAGAATCAACCCCTTTAAGTGGAGATACCAGGTGTTTTGGCGTGATTACGTGATCGGCGTATTTTCGATGCGTGAATTCGTAAAACAAATTTTTATTTTGCGTGAATGCGGTAAAAGACATTCGCGCGTGACCCGTAAATGAGCATTACTCGTGACGTTATTGCGTTAAAATGACTGCTGCAAACGAAGATCGAAGTAGAGTGTCGTTTTTTAAAGCAAAAAGTCTTGATTTTCGGTACCAAACAAGATAAATGTCTCTATTATACTCATTTTTTTATAATAAACAAAGGTCGATGTTGAGTACTCCAGTTTCTTAATGTTCTGGAAATTTAAATGCTCGCTGTTTCTTTAGAGTTTGCTGATTATGATGTCATGAATGATGTTATGAAATGTTCGTGACCTTTTTTCACGTCAAGAGATTCGCTTAGGTTCTGACGCTGTATTTAAACGTGGGAAGTATATTTTTATCCGTTATGTCTTAAGTTCTAGACCATCAGGGCAATCATGTTCTGGATTTTACAAAATTTCGCTGTTCTCAGTTTTATCACGATTTAATAGTTTCTTAATTATTTTTCTTCGAGTACTGAAGTTTTTCTGACTGTCTAGTAATCGTTTCTTAAATGAATGTATGCAGATATTCCAATGCTGATGGGTCTGCCAACATAAAATTACTCCTAGTTGATAGTTATTTGAAATTCAGAGAGCTTCTAGGGGGCGTGATCTTGAAATTAAATTTCTAGTACCGTGAAAGTGTGATTTGCAATTATTTTACGCGCGATTGCGTGATTCAGCATGGATACCTGATACCCCCTTAGGTATGTCATAGATAAAAACAAAGATTATATGTCCTCGATGCATGAATACAATGTTTTTGCACAATCTTGTTAAAATCCTTAAAAACGTTGCTGTGTTAACGAAATATTGGGCGTTCCACTGAGTACTAAGGACGCAGGCTACTGTTTACTAGCTGGAACGGTACACAATCCTTTAGTTAGAAGGGTGACGTAAGTTCATCATAGGGAGTTATTGGAACAAACGATGGAAGTAGTCTTACTGGCTCATAGAAAAAGCAGCGAGTTTAAATACAGTAGAGAAACATAAACAAGCAGCACTTTATATTTTATGCCATGGGCCACTGTAATGTTCATGCCTCGATAGCATTACCTTCGCCTCCATTCCATTTCTGATTAGCCAATGAATGAATGTTATAGTATCAACAGCCAATGACAGACACAATTCAACAAGTATATGACTTAACTCAATAAATTAAACATGACTGCGTTATAATTAACTATTTACGAGATGTTAACTCCAACAATAACAACTTCTTATATAGATTTATATTTACACTTTTAAAGGTTTGTAGAACTGCCCCGCCCTTTGTTTTCCTTTTTTTCATGAATGAAACCATTCATACGACGATAGAACTACTGCTTCTCAGTCGAGCTTCGGAGTTTGATAGAAACCTCGCTGATTTTGGGGTTGTCCTCGGTGTTTTTTCCGCACATATTCTTGACTGTCCTTCTGATAGCTCTTCTCAGAACACGCAAACGTAGGATGTAGTTTATTGGCCTTAGCATTGCTCCGGCTACTACAAATAAGTAGGTCAGGTCTCTCATTGCGTGGATGAGTAAGCAGTTACAATCCGTGCAGTTATTCATGTAAACAATCATGAGAACAGTTGGAAGGTAACTTATCAGAAAAACAACCAACATGAGCAGCAAGGTTTTCGTTACTCTACGTTCCCCTGCTTGGCTTAAACCATTCTTTCCACTCAATCTTTTAAGAGACTTGCAGTTGCTATCACTTCTAGTAACTGAGTACCTTCCGCGTCTTTTTCCGTTGAGAATCATTCGCCTGTGGTAAACTGCTAGCATTATGACCATAAGGATGAACGAGAAAACGACTGTCGTACACGAGAAAACTACTAAGCACTGAATAAAGCCGACCTTAAAGTAGCTCATGCTGAGTGCAATTGATAAAATCCAAGTGCTGGCTGCAATCAAAGCTGTATGCCATGTTTTCTTGTGTTTAAGATGATTGAAAGGTTTGATCAATGCCCAAAGTCTTTCTACGCTTAACAAACCTACTGTTATTACAGCCACGCCACTGAATATAAAGAATGTAATATGAGACAACTTCTTCTCCGTTCCAGATAGAGGTAGGCCAAGTCCTTCTTTGAGGACATAATTGAAAGACAAAGAATCAACGACCAAGCCAGTAAAAAGGTCTGAAAGAGCGATGTTGAAAATTGCCTTAAAAAACATTGGCTTAAAGCTACTCCCTTTGCTTTTCAGAATTGTAAACAGTATCACGGCGTTCAGTATAACAGTGACTACCATCAAACATGCAGTGGTCCCGGCTGTAAAGAACGATAAAGCTGGAACATTGTGAGTGATTCCACATTGCTTTGCTTCCCCCATTTTTACTTGATAAACTGCCGTTCGGGCGAATAAAAGCACGTTCTAAAAAGATGCACTTGATTTTATTCTGCTCGTCATGGCTTCTGGCAACGTGGTTGATACAAGGTGAACTTGGCAGGCCTTGTTTTTGCGTGGACATTCAAATGGTCAGTGGAGCAGGTGACAGAATTGTGAGCTTCTACAAACTCCGTATAAAGAAGTCACAGGTACTTTACATGAGCACGTTTCGAGTACGATTCAGGCACGATAACGGGGGCTTTACATTCCCAAATAGGGACGAGCCTTTTGTTGCACGTTACACATGTTTACCAAGTGTAATGATACACGGGGGCCACTGTTTCAAAACAGGCCCTCAGAGGCTTTTCAGATTGTCGTCTCAGAGATCTTCGAACAATAGGACATTAGTATATTACCCACATTTTTGAACAGGTGGATGTGTGATGTTTTAATTTGTTATCTGTTTTTTGCAGGTGAAACTTTGTATTTCAGTTTTTTTCGGAGATTCATTACATGATAAGATAGCAGGTTTAAGCCCTGCTGTCATTGTTTTTTTTAAATTTTAATTTTGATTTTAACACTTACGGTTTCTCCAGATTTTTGTATTCCTTTTCTGAATTTTCTTTTCAATATTTCTACTTGTTTTGAAATGGTCTTCAAACCGCCAACTAATCTATAGCAAAAGGGAATTTAAACAACAAAGCAACTTTTCAGGTGAAAAAAACTATTCCAAAAGTTTCTATTAAAAGACAAGGAGGTTATTTCCACAATTCGTATATGGATTGACAATTTGACTGAAGTAAAGTACTTTTTGTCTTGCTGCCTACTCACATACTATATAGTTTTAAAGTTGTCTTGCAATGTGGGGAAATTTGATTCGGTTTCTTATAAAATGCGTCCCTGTAAGAAGTGACAATAGCTCCATAGTACATGGCGATGTTCAAGATGATCGCGTGTGCGTGGTTGATTTTTGTTCATAAAAGCTTTAAGAATATAAGGAATTTGCCAAATAAGTCTCTGGCGCAAATAAAATCGAAAATAGCACGGAAAGATGGTAACATATCTTACTGAATCACTTTTCATCAGTCAAATAAAAAGTGTCTCGAGAACATCTGGCCTAATGTGCGAGCTTTAAACTTTCTCCCCCGTAACTCCAGTTTTGAAGCCATGCTACTTAAAGATAGTAGGCCACTGATAAAACGCAACCACAACAATAAATAAAAAGCAGGCTAGAAGGTTTTTCACTCAGAAAGCCATGAAGCACGTGTTTAGCGTTAATCTAGTGGATTTAGATTCATTTACATTTCAAAACAACAACGCCAGAAGCAAAAACCGGCAATGAAGATTGATTTACACAACCAAAAAGTCGTTTTTTTAATCGTTTCTTTTACTTTTTTTGCAGTTAAAGTTCTTTTGAATAGAAAAATTGTCAAATACAAGAAAACACTAATTAACGTTTCCAAAGGGGATAGCTCCTCAATCAAAATATTGCTTGTAATATAGCTACATATTTGATTCACCAGGCTAATGTTATGGTTACTCCTTTTAGCAACGCACTTACAAATGTTTCTATGGGCACACTGAAAAGTTAGTCCTATACAGTTTTGTTCATTTACCGTCGATTGGTCATAGACATTGTTGTTTTTCAAGCAATAGAGAAAACATCATACCGAGTAATATCAATAAAGCCTATACCATTCATATTTCTAAAACTTGATGGTAAGAAAACTTCCAAAAAGATTCGTCCAACTATTCAAATGAATAAAAAATGTTTCGATTGTTGTATTGATATCCTTGCTTCTTAACCACAAAGCGATATGACGACAAATATATAATTTTATTGGCATGATGATAAGTTGAAATTTTTTATCCGCGGGGAAAATCATTCCATTAAAATCTCGTACAATTTTGGGAGAAATCAATTCAATTTTAGGGTGGTTTAGGCCCCTGGGCATGTCACATTGGAAGATTAGGATTAAAATAAAGTCCAGACACTAGGAGCAACACCCAAAGGATATCAAAACGATTTAGTTGATTTTCTTTAACTTAGACCCTGCTAAGGTATACTATCCGAGGGGCAAATCACTTCATGAAAATCTCGTATACCCTTTGGTGAAAAACCTACTGTTTTATCTGAAAACCCCGCCTGGCCACCCCTCCCCCCCCCCCCCCCCCCCTTAAAATTTTGATCTGAATGAATTGTTAATTAGAATGTTATCTTTATGACGTCATCACTTCAGAGCTCTTTTCACAGACATAACCTTTCAAACGTTCTGCCGTTCTGTCTGATTTTACATCTCTTTTATTTTCTTTGTTGTATTTCATTACAAAACTTCTTCCTACAACCGTTGTGGAGAAGGTTTAAGTTTTCTATAGAATTACTAAAGGGACGCCATTGCTTGAGAACATTACAAGGATTGTTTGTGTCACGTGTCAAGACCCTGGAAAGGCGACCTAGCTCATCTCCTGCTCTGTTTGGTCTCGATTTCAATTCTTATTGTTGCTATCAACACTATCAATAGCAGTCGCTAAATAATTAACTATGGCTGCAAGGAAAGCTGAACTGTGAAAGTCAACTTTAATAACTCAGAAATAAGAAGAATACGCAGCAAAGTATGTAGGTGCATTTATGTATGAGCATGGCCTGAGTGAATTGTCGTAGAGGGGTTTTCCTAATCTATGGAACTTTCCCGCCGTATTAGTTTCGAAACGTCGCCTAGGTCAACAAAGCGGATTGCTGTGCAAATATTTTGCCCTTTGAAGACTTTATTGAAAGTATTAGAAAATTTAGCATGTGAATATCATGTTTTCGAATTTAAAAAAGAATGGTGCAGTTTTTGTTGAGTTTTTGATGATACAATATAAACTAAGCACTTAGAACTCAATCTATAATCCTCCCCACAAAGCTAACATTGGCAGTATCATGCTGCAGCTGTCTCATTTTGATAGCAGGGATCGTTCTTTTAAATAAACAATTTTATACTTATGATCAGAAGTACGGGATTATCGATTAAGTCTTAATCCCACAAGCTTAGGGCTTGCAATGATGATACTGATTCTCCTTTTAGGCATTAACCTATAAGCATGGTTTTGGGAAACCGGGTATAGCTGATGGCAGTGGAGAGAGTTGTGTTGCAAGATCTGGTTTTCCCTGGTAAAGTTCACAATGTCGGGTCAGTTGTTTCCCATACTAAATTTGCACATTTTTTTATTTTTGTGTCAGACCAATTAGTAACCAATTATTGGTATAATAAACCTATGAGAAAATTTGTTTCTCCAGCTTTCTTTTATTTTCTATATCTATGCAGAAGGGCATGGCAAGGATAAATTAAGTCTAGTCCAGAGAAAAGGCACCTGTAGCAAGGCCTGCCTAAGATTATTTGAGATAAATATCTATTTATTTTATGGTGATACTTTGGCTAAGAAAGTGTTTTCAAAGCATGCATTATAGGAACGTTATTACGTGGCAAGAATTGCAATGGTTCCTATCATATCATGTGACTTTCCATCATTGATGTTTGCTTCGATTCTTATTTAGTGTGCAGAGAACATGGAGCCAGTGAAAGAGGCAGTGTGTTGCCTGTGTAACTCTGATATGAACTGAACTGGACTGACTTACATACAATTTAACATACTTATATAAAAAAAAATGTGCTGAGTAATGACGTGTTGTGATGATGTAATGATGATGCAATGGAGAAGGAAATATCTAGACTTTTGAAGAAGTCAGCATGACATAGATGTGTGAATGTGTAAACAATGGTAAAGGGGATGTCCTATGGTATGTGATGCCTTGAATGACAAAGGGGATGTCGTGGTGATGGTATGATCAATGAATGAGTGCGAATATGGCCTATTTTACAATATTAAAATCACTACAGCATGATGATACTTGTGGTGTTGGAACTTTGATAAAGTTTTCAAAGAAACACCTTATTTGGGAGAAACTTTTAAAAAAACATGCCATTCAAGTGGGTTACTACAACTGACCCCACATTGACCAACCCCACCAAGCCCCATCACCATGCCATGGTATATCATCAGTTGAGCATAGTTCTGGGCCTATGCCACGAATTTGAAAGTGGGGGGGGCAAGACTTAAAAATTTGGGGGCCAAGGCTTCTTACCCCTTTTATTACAGCTTTAAAACTACTTGCTTTGCAAAAAGTAGAGGGGCCATGGCCACCTCGCCCCCCCCCCCTGTGGCGCAGGCCTTGTAGTTTGGTGTCAATTGGTAAGCCTCTGATTGCTCAACTTGCAAACAATGAAGTGGGTAAGTCTGGGAAGGGCTACGATATATTAAAGACATTTTGCGCTATATAACAAAGTGGTCAATATCAATCTCTTTTCTGACTAAGCCCTCCATGTCTCCCAAAACAATACTGCATGGGTTTGATCAGAAAAAGTTTTTAGGTGTCATAAATATATTTGAATGTAAAATTTTATAAAAGAATTCACCACTTTTCCTTCTGATGAGTCACCATTTTTAAAATGCAAAACTCTACTTTCATTGCTATATAGTATATTTATTGTTAATGACCTATTTTTGAATTTTATATTTTGGTTCTTGATGAATCATATTTTGGCTGATTTTGTCTAAAAATGGAACAACTTATTTTTAGCAAAAGTCAAAGTTGGTTCAAATGTAGAATATAAGATGCCAAATGGCAGAACCGCCAGTGCACTTGTTTTGGAAACTGGACCAAAAAATGTGTATAAGGTAATAAGCAATTATTTAATGATGCACTTTCATTAAAACACTAAACCCTTTTTCCCTTAATCTTTCTTTCTGTTTGCTTTCCTTAGGATAATCGATTAAAAGAGTTTGTTGATGATTCAAAACAGATCATTTTATCTTTCATAAATGACGTATATGTAAATTGCTTGTTTCTGTCCACCTTATAATCTGTTTGAGATCTACTAGATCTGGAAGTAATGCTAAAAAACTAAACTTGCTTCATGCTAATTAGTCAATAATAGCAGAAGATGGTGATGCAAGATCCATTTTAGATAACATAAAAGCTTACCAACCTTCTTTTTTTCATTGATTTATAACTGACACAGTTTCATTTGTCACTGTTTTTCCCCTCAAGGTGACATATGATGGATGGTCAAGTATTTATGATGAATTTGTTGATCCAGCAAAATGCATTGATGTTAAATCTGGGTTGACCTGCACAGACTCCACCAAGGTAAACGTCTGTGCATGATAGAACCATTGTCTACCATAACAAAGTGTATGCTGAAATAATGGCAATAACATAATAACTAAATTGCTTTCTCCTTCAAAGCAATTTTTCTGCAATGGGATTCTTTGCAAAGAAGAATTAATTTAATCAGGGTCAATAGTTAAAACTTTACCCCTTAAAAGTTTTGTGCAAAGATGAAAGCATGCATTTGCAACCAGCAAATACACATGAATCAGTTCATCCAATGGCACAGCACAGCCGAATAAACAAACAACAAAATCCCTTAACAAATGACATTATGCCTCAGTGGCTTGTGGCTTATTAGATTTTCCACCATATCATTGCACAAATACTTTAACAAAAACAAATATCAATTATTGAACCTATATTTTTTATTCTTGGTTCTATGCACTTAAAGCCTTGAAAATTTATTAACTTCATTCCGAAGGTGTCATTCTGGCTTATTAGCATGTTTATTTGTTTTAGGTTGTCAAAGGAGATAAGCTAAAGGTGAAATGGCTTGATGGGTCATCATACATTGGCACTGTCCTTAATGGAGCTACAGCTGTTGCTTGTGTTCGTCCTGAATCTTACCCTTCTGAATACAAAGTATGGATAACTGCTGATGAACTAGTTAGCAAAGACAGCAACTCAAGGACAGAATCTTCACAGCCAGATGTTGATTGTATGTTCTCAGTTTACCTTTTTGTCGTTTACAGGAAACGAAGGTTTATCCCCCAAAAATAGTTGTCCATTTTAAAATGTTAATGTAATGATAACTATGATGAAGCTGATTCTGCATCACCTAAGTTTTAGGCTGGAGCTCTTTGATAGCTAGTACTGATAGTGGAATGCTCTAGGGTGACATCTTAGTCAATTTTGAAGTAGATTTTATAAGTTTTATTTCACAGGATGTACTTCTTTTGAATCGAAACTCGCTTAATGTGCTGTAATATTTTGACGTTTCTACCACAAAAAGAGAAAAGGTAACAAAGTATATTTGAATTTTCTATTATCCTTTTTTGGACCATCTTATCATCACTTGCAATAATAAGCAGAGATAAACACTATATGCGTTATGTGTATAAACACTACACATTCTTTACCCAATGGGAGTAACTATTTCAAGAATATTATTTTAGCAGTGGTAGCAAAGTCAGCTGATATTGACAATTCGTATTCGTTTTTATAGTGAGCACGATCGAGGTAGGAAAACAAATCACAGTAAAGCTGATAAATGGAACGACGGCAAAGGCAGATGTAATTCTCAAAAGTTCTGTTCCTGTCATTTTGGTAGGTAGCGTACTCAAAATTCTGTCGACAGCCAGGCCAGACTTCATGTTGTTCCAGCGAATGAATAGGTCTGCAACGTGTACGGGCTCTTTAGTAGCAGCGAGGGACACATGTTAAGGCTAAAGCTTAGAGAGACAATGCTCTTGCAGACTTGCATACGGATAACCAAATAAAATTGTAAAGATAGCAGACTGATGCCAATGACAAAATTACACATAAACACTGCAAGGATACAAACATGTAATAATCACATGCTAAAATGAATCGCATAAGGGGGATAAACACTACAAGCTACATGATAAAATGATATAAAATTAATCAATAGAAAAATCTGTTACGTTACTGGTCTTAGAAAAAATATAAACCTGGGATAAACTGACTTCATTGCTTGCACCCTTCGTTGCATCACTCACTTATTTGTGACGCAATTAAGGTTACATAACGTGAAAAAGTAAGAAATATTTGAAAGAAGTGCAAAATCAGCTGGACTGCCTTTAAACCAAAATCATCAATTTATCACAATAAAGAATTCGAGAAATTAAAGATTAAATTCTATGTTTCGATTCAAGTTACTGTGTTTTTCTGTATTAAATGGCTGCTCAGAATGACACTTTAGCTCTGAAAGTTTCTTTTGCAAGCTGATTATTCCTTTATGTCTTAGGTTACTTACGATGGTTGGTCGAAAGTGTACGACGAATATGTTGCCTTGGATCAATGTGTTGATGCTAGCAATGGCTCCAAGATCACTGACATCAAAAAGGTACTTTAAGCTGGAGACTCCGACCCCGTTTACACTGTGCCGGATAACTGCAGTCACATGACCTAAATCATGCACAGAACGCCAAAAATGAAGTCTTCTCTGGGCAACAAAATAATAACCAAATTCCCGCCAACGTAAAAAGACTTCATTCTCTCTTCAAAATCATCTGTTTCTCTTTTAGACTAAATCCAAAGTTATTGTCAATACAAATTAGGCCTAGTTTGTTTTAATAGTTTGTCCATGAAACAAAATGACACTGTACTAGCAACGAAAATGGGGAAAGCTGACAAGGATGCCAATTTTACGTGGGCTGGCAAGATACTGCACTTTTAACACGAGTATTTATCGACAACAAGGCAGCCAAGATGGCGAAAGGTCTTGATTGGGAGACAGTGAAAACTAAATTGGATGAAATAGCCAATCGCTTTCGAGCAAGATACGATGTGGATAAAATTTATTCGGATAAAAGCGTTTATCCGAACCAATTTAATCCACTTTCTAGTTGAACTAGTTTTGTTCGGATAGCCGCTCTCAAATTCGTGCGGATAACGTGGGTGGGTCTAGTGTAAAATTTATCGTTCTGTACGGGTGCAAAAAGTTTTGAGTTTTTGCTCGAGTATATTTTCGTCACGAGGAAAAAACGAAGGTGTGGTTTCTCCACAGCAAACCCCTCCATCTGCCATTACCATCAGATGATGCCATAGAAATAGAGCTCTCTGATTGGCTAGTCAACAAAATGTAAACAAACCAAAGAACCTATTGTTGCAAAATCTGCCCTTGCTACGCCTATCTGAACTAATTTTGATGCGGATAAAATTTTTCCGGCACAGTGTAAACGGGTCTCCGTTTGAATGAATGGAGACTCCGTTTCTTTGTCCTCAAGTAAGATGCTTGATAAAGAACACGGAACTTGATGATTTTAGAAAATAAGTAAATACAACCTTGCTCTAGATTCAGGCCAAGAGTGTATTTAATGTGAAGCACAGAGCAGATTCGTAATCTAGATTCTAGATAGAAATCTCGATAGAAATTATTCCTTCTTTGTGACGAATATAGAATAATTTTTGTCCTCAACTTCACCATACGGAAAACACCGATGAGTTATTATCATAGGGTTATTGCTTCGCTGTAGGTTAAGAAAAATGACAAAGTTAAAGTACGATGGCTTGATGGGGCGTCATATGCAGGCACTATTCTTGAAACTTCAGAAGCGGTTGCTAAAGTTCGCCCGGTAGGGTATCCGCAAGAATATCAATTGTGGATAACCAAAGGTGATATTGCCGAAGAGGTATCAAAGAAACCACAGTCTGGAAGTATGTCTATTAATTTTATAGTAACAAATCTAACAATTGTTAACTTACGTTCTTTTTCGTGATGTAAGCTTTTAGCCAGATAAACCAAAATATGCAATGCTTATTGCAACAGAAAACCTATTTTTAATGCTTCATTACTTTTAAAGGTATCATGGAGAATGCCTTGAAGGATGCAATGGAAAGTATGAATCAAATCATGCAGGATTACCAGCAGCAGAGTTTAGAGACCAAGCGAATGGAGGATGTCCCTACTCGGAAAATACAATCAATTCCAAGTCCAACACATAGTATGTCATTAGCAATGATCTTCGTCAATTCAAATGATAAAGTAGGATTAAGAAGTATATATTCTAACTGTGCCTCACACTGAACATGAACATGTAGTGATGAAAAATGTTGATTGATAAAGCTACAAAAAGATTGGATTCTTCAGAAGTATTGTCCATACACAACAGAAGTATTGTCCATAAAAATCATTTCCTTTTTGTTACAATATCTCTCTGGGGTTTCTTTTTAACGGGCTTTCCTTTTCCGGAAAGCCTGGTTTTTGAAAATCAACATCAGAACAGTCGAGCAAGAATCGAATGCAAGCCATATAAACTGGAAACTATTCTAGATTTAGATTGCCATCTCACATGATTGGCTTGCTCAACCTTTCTGTACTAATGCATGATTTATTGTGCGAATAAGCCAATTGCATAATTGCAAATGAGCTATTTCTGCCTTTATTTCCACGTGTCTTGTATGAACTGGGTATTTTGCAGTTATCTTTCAAACTCTGATTTTTTCATGGCAGAAGACAACAGCAAATGGAAGAAGTTTCTTTCCAAAGTTCTAATCTCGAAAGGCAACCTCGATAAGCTAGCGAAGGTGTGCGAAAAACGTAAGAAGCCAGCATGGTCTGGAAAGGAACTGAAATCGAATGAATATCACGTTGGAATCGGGGCTAGCAAAGAGGATCTCGATTTCGCAGATATTGTCAAACAGGCATTGAGTAAGAGAGGGTTAAAAGTAACAACCGATCAAGATGATTTGCACGAGACAAGAACATTTTTGCTAATTTACAGCGATAGTGTTAACATGGATGAAAATGTCATTCGACATCTTACAAGGGCTGCAGAGAGATTTAATATGGGAGAAACAATAATAATTGCACTTGTGCGGCCAGGCTGTCCTGAAGAAGTTATTGACCGCATTCCGGATAGAGTAGCGTATTCGCTGTCAAATGTGGTATTTTTCAGTCATGACTGGTTTGGCGAAGCACCTGAGATGGCACGGAGGAGATCAGTTGAAGATCTAGCAGGTAGTCTGGCTAGCAATTTGCCATATCACAATAGAATTATTCTTTTTCGTAAGCTGATATGTCATAAGTATATGTCAAAATAAGAAGCTTCAATCTAGATAGCAAATGCTGAATTTCGAAAAAAAGGGCTGCATAAATTCATGGTTCATAATACCTTTACAAATTCTTTGCAACAATTGTATACTTCAATCTTTATTTTTCAAGCAATTTTTGGTGGCAAAGATTTTGAAAATGGCTTTGAAAAAAGAAACGTTCTTCAGCGTTTTGTCTCGCACTCAACAGAGTATAAAACGTCAGAATATTGATCGGAAAATCTTGCAAATGTGACTCTGGCTGCGTAGGACGGATTGATTACAAAATCTGGGGGATTGAATAAAACAGCATGTTCCTTTCAATATTAGAAAAACTCTCCCCCTCTCCCCCCCCCTTGTCAGAGCTCAGTCGTACTTCCGAGAAAAAGCCACTCTCGTGTAGACAAATGGAGTTCGTTTTCACCCTTGGGCTCAATTGGAAATATTTTCAGCAGGCAAGGGGCACTGACTGGGCTACCTTCACAGTCATGTGCTTGCTTTTTTATTTAGCCTATTTCGATCCACAACTGGGTATGTTTTCTAACTTAGAGTTTTCGATCAGTATTCTGTACTTTTTCCCCTTTTTGAATTCTTTAATTTCTATTTACATAATGACAATTATGATGAAAATCATATAATATCATATGATAAAGAATCGTTATGATTCCCCATTTTTCTATTAACAGCATTAATCCAGAACAACGTTAATGAAACTCATGACTACGATTTAAGCGGAGCTTGGCTATGCCAGGCAGCAGTTACAAGCAGTGTGACGTCATATAGTACAACCAGAGACTTCACTATGCTGTTGAAGCAACAGGGAAATAAGGTATTCAAAAAATAGCATAATTTTCGTCGTATAGGAAGTTGAATATTATCAGCT